GTACTTGCACTCTCACATTATAAAGGTCTCAAAAATACTTTTCACAAGTTCACATATTTAAAAGGAAAGCAAAGCCTGACTGTACACACCAGAGAAATAATTCTTTGAGAGGATTCCCAAATGATGGTTTATATTTTGTGACCCCTTTACTACTAACACATGTTCAGGAGGAAATTGGGAGTGATTTCCAACTAGCCTCCTTTGCCAATTTCCTCACTCTTTTCTCTTCTTTACACATGGGTACCTTTAAGCAATGTAAATTGTGTTTTCCTCTACTCCCTTCTCAATTTAGAGTCTCTTTTTCCTGAGATTCTATCTCTTTAGCTCATGCAAAAGAATCCCTCATTCATATTTTATATCAATGCCTTCCTTCATTGCCACTTGTTAATTTGTATATTTCTGTATGTGTTATTATTTTAATAAATTCATAACAGCTTATTAAACCTATGTTGTATTTCAAAATCAAATTAAGGGAACAAAATTTAGTCACTAGTATCTTCCTGCTTCTCACTAATGTCTAATCAGTTTTGAAGATAAGCAAAATACTTGTTGTTATGTGCCATGGAGTCAGACCCAACTCCTAACAACCCTTCTTTGGGTTTCTGAGGCAGTATCACTACAGAGGTAGATTGCCCCATCTTCCTTCCGAGGAGTGGCTGGTTGGTTTGAACTGCCAGCCTTCTGGTTAGCAGTCAAGTGCCTTAGGCACTATGCTACCAGAGCTCTTAAACAGAAAAGCTATGATGGATATGTCCTTGTCTTTTTTTTTTTTTTTTCCCTTCCTATTTCCATTTAGCTGATGTAATCCAATTCCAAATCAAATCAAAGTGAGCAATTTCTGGTAACACATTTCTTTTATATGAGTGCTTAGAACCAAAAATACAAACTTGTTGCTGTCAAGCTGATTCCCATTCATGGTGGTCCCATGTGATAGAGAGTAAAATTACTCCATAGGGATGTCTTGCTTCTTAGGGAAGCAGATTGCCAACCACTGGGTAGTTTCAAACAACCACTTTTCAGTTAGTGGTTGATCATAAACCATTTGTGCCACTTAAACAATAATGAATCAGCTCTTTATATTTTGTCCTAGTAAATATATATTCAAAAACCACTGCTGTAAAATCAATTGCAACTCATAGTGACCCTATTTTTGTTTTGTTGTTGTTATGTGCCATCAAGTCATCCCCGACTCATAGCGACCCCTCCTTGGGTTGCTGAGGCAGTATCACTATGGAAGTAGATTGCCCCATATAGTCATTATGAATACTCAATATATCATATAATACTGAAGAAAACAAGTAATAATTTATGACTGAGCACAGAATAAAATAAAAATGCATGAAAATATTAGGCCTTACAGTTTTTTCTATGATATTTTCCTTTCCATTAAATAACAAATATATTTTGATGTTGGCACTTACTTGGAAGAAAGTCATTGCTAGAGTAGCAAACACTAAAAACAACACCATACTTATTTATAACCAGTGACAACCACAACCTATGAACTTTTTAAGAGAATGTGATTGTTTTCAAAAGGCATGTAGTCCAATTTTTCTGTGTTCAGCTCTGGTTGCTCTCGAAACCATGGCTGAGGGGCTATGGGAGTTCCTCCAAGGCTGGTGGGCACAGACCAGCAAGGAAGTGAGTTTTGCATACTGTACGGATCATCGCTCAGTTCAGGGCAGTCAGATCGCATCTGGACTCAACCCATTGTGCTTCATGAAAACGTCAGCCCTCATTTGTGTCTAGCTGTTTTCTCCTGTCCAGCTGTAAGCAAGGCTGACTCTAAGCTGTCACCCTACCCTTGTCTGCACAGGATGATCCCACAGTCAGACCTAGTCAGTGGCCTCAGAGTTCAAGTTCCTTATTCCAGACAGCAGTCCTCATGCAAACTGGAATGTCACAAAGAGAAGCAACGTTGGCATGACAGAGTTATAATCCCTGCTTGGAAATGCATACCTTAGATTCCTACACAGACTGGAGAGGCATGTCTCTTCCACGAAATTAAATTAGATGTCTGCTTTTTTCAGTGGACTAGTTCAACAGATTCATCTTATTGGGGAAATGGGGGTGATGGTGCTCTTTTTGTTATTTCACTGCTCTGGGCTTTACTAGAATGAGCCAAAAATAAAAAAAGTGTGTGTAGGGGGGGGCGGGGAGTGCCTAGAAATACTGGCAATCTGGCCAGACTCCTGAACTCCTGAACGCTTGGAGTGTAATGATGGTAAACAGGAACAGGTATGCTGGCTTCTATTCGGCCATAGGGATGCCCTTACAATAAAGCAGAAATTGATTCAGAAGGAACCTCATCCCAATGATAAAAGGTAGGGGGTATTATTGATGCCATGTTCCTTGGCAAGTGGCATAAAGGTAATATTTTGCATTCACTACATTTAATTCTCCTGGCCAGCTGGTGTGTCCCTGTTAAAACTTTCATTTATGCAGCTCGAGCTGGAACCTTTTTTTGTTCTCCCAGTCTATTACTTCGTGGATTTAAGGGATAACAGCCAAAGTGAAACAGCTTGCAATTTGCACCTGTCTGCTGTAAGCATTCCATGTTAGATTATGGAGGGGAAACTCTTTGCTGCTAATGAGAATAAGACTGGAGAGGACTAAATGCTATTTTGTTGGGGGACTTCTTGGATATTTGCGTGTCTTATTCTCCTTTTATAATTGATCTGATAGAAAACTCTCTATTTTTGTGTTTTAGAATCCCTGGAGTAAGGGACTAAAATCCAAAAATATATATAGTTAAAATTGTGTAATTTTTAAAGATATTTTTAATATCACTTAACTAAGAATTGAATTTGGACCAATGAGCAGCATCACAATAAATGGAGAGAAGATTGAGGTTGTAAAGGAATTCA